ATATCCATCGTATGCGTAAAACCTCACCATACTGGCAGCTAGTACATGCTTATTAGTCCTTTACGCGGGTTGACGGATTCACGATAGTCGACAGAATACATGCATCGCGAGAGTACCGCCTTGAGTCGAGAGGCATCTAAGCATATTTTCTCAAATGTTATAGTGTCGTGGTCTCGTTCAACGCGTTAACTAGAACTTTGCTAGTGCTTTGGTGGAGCTATAATTTAGCTTATAAGTTAAACCCTAAGAAACGGGCATTTGCTTACAACCAATTAGTGGTGTTATCTGAAACGATTCACCTTCCCCTCTACATGACACGTTATGAGCAGGGCTACTCACCTGAGAGTTCATAGAATTCTGAACAGAGAGGTTCGCGTTCGAGTTCTGTCAGTTCAATCGCATTCGTTCATTCCAAAGTTGATTAATGAGTACCATCTTCGAAACGAAACAGGAGACTATAAGTTATGTTTTTCACATGGCTATTGTCGAGTATGCCTTTACTAGCTGTAAAGGCATGGAAGTGGAGATCAGCCGGTACCATTAGCTTAACAAGAATGAGCTACCAGAAACAGCTTCATCAGGAAATTGTAAAGTTGACTAACATTCGAACGGTAAAAATCTTTCATTCTCTTTTTTTAACGATTTAAGGGGCCCTTTAAAATCTGGCTGTCCAGAACAACTCTGCCATTCCTAAAGATTCGTTGATGACATTTCAGCCATCTAACCATATGCTATGACAGTATTTGCTATTATGAGCATAATGAACATAAGAGAGGCATATCTATTTCGCTGAATTAATTAATATCATAAACCACAGAATAATGAATTATAAGTTAAAATATAATACGAGCAAAGCCCAAAATACTAGAATTAAAGATGAAATGCATTCAATTCTTATATTTTAAATACTGGAAAAAGTTACAGAAAATATTCAATTTATATATCTGTCTCATATAACAAAACAAAGTCTAAGTAAAATGTACATCATAATTTCTTAATTAGATAATGTATAACTCCGTAAAAAATAATTTCTAGTAGTCTAGGAGAACGATTAACAAGACCCAGGCTCCACGGTATTTTAGCACCTTCAGTATATACACGCAAAACAGCATACTTTGCTAAGTCGAACAATAATCTGTTTGAACACCAATGGATACACATATATGTGCAGGCGTATACAATAAAAATTAACCGCTGAATTACGAGTTCACCAGAACAGTAACAGTTTGATAAAAACAATTGCATTAATATCTTTAAAACTAATGTTGCTACATTCAAAACAACATACCCCATTGATGTAATTTCGCAAATCGATTTTCTCGTTTTGTGAGTGAGCCATATCATCACCGGCGCCAATCGCCAGCAACATCACGTTCTTCCCCGTGCATTCTTGGAAAGTTATGGTGATCGGTATGCTTCCGCCTTCACGAGTCAAATCTGGTTCTACGCCATACACTGAAATTTGAAGTTTCTAAATCTTAGACGCAATAGTACAACAATGATAGTTCAGCATATAAACAGCATAAATATAAGAGATCAGGCATGACAATAATAGGTGTCAAGAAAATCACAGTAAAAGAGATAAAGCCACCTCATTAACAAAAGCGCGGTGTAAAGAACAGGTAGGCCTACTTTCCATCTCCTTAGGTTTACACCTTGTGTCAATTTTTAATCAGCTATCAGGAGACAAGATACACTGCAATCCGGAAGCCCTTGCATCAGAGATGACGATAAGACTCTCAAGCTGTAGATACCAGATGCCAATGCTTTCGATATTGATTACAGATTTTCGATGCCTGTATCGTATCGTTAAACAGGAGTCAATTTTCTTGTTTGTCCGTACTGGAAGCATTAAATGGTACTAGATTTGAGGCTTGGCCTGAGGAGACTCAATAATGATGTGGTTTCAATGAGTATAAAAGATAAAGTGAAGCAAATGTTAATGAACAATCAACAGAAGCGGTCATGTAAAAACAGTTCAGCTTTCTTCGAGACAGAGTAAAGATCATCGGTCAACCTACCAGGAGCGGAGATGGCGTTTTCGACCATTTCAGCATCGTTCGCTAGACACTGTCATAGCTGGTATAAGTGGGCAGATTTTTAGAACTACGACGAATTCTAAAAATCGCGGAACTCTGCTGCATAAAGGAGAACAATAAGGGGCTAATCCGGCGCAGAAAGTGAATGGCTGAAAGATGCCAAATGAAAATGTTTAGAATAAAGTGTTGTCACCTTTCATTAGGAGGGACACATCCTCATAAAGTAAGGTACAATTGCACATTTGGGCAGTTCAGGAAACGGAGCTTGACAGAATTTACTCCTAGCATGTTGAACCGCTGCGGTTAAAACCTAGTACCTTACGAAACAGTTAACATAACGACAACTCACCTCGCTTAACTGCACGACGACCAGCCAAGTAATGAGGGTGGTCCGGGTTGCTGAGCCACGCCGGCCCGTTGTGACACGAATAGACGCGGCATACGTTGGGTGTTCCGCGGTCCTTGAACAACCTCTTAACGTAGCTGATCACCAGCATGTCTACTTCGTTCGGAGTCTGATTAGGAACGATCCTGATCGAAAATTTTCCAATGACTTTATTCGGAATGATAGTCTTGGCACCGCTGCCGCTGAATGCACCTTCAATGCCTTAAATACAACAGTCAAATGGATTTTCGTTCTACAAA